TATTATTTACAAAAACCTAAAATCCCATGTCATGGTCTTATCTGTTGTGGGCGTGGCATTTATTTCTATAAACAGCATACGATGTTTAGAGCGAACAGGTACTTGTTTTGATTATTATCAAATTACTAATTTGATGGTTTTATCCGTTGTGGGCGTGGCATTTATTTCTATAAACAGCATACGATGTTTAGAGCGAACGGGTACTTGTTTTGATTATTATCAAATTATTAATTTGATGGTTTTATCTGTTGTGGGCGTGGCATTTATTTCTATAAACAACATACGATGTTTAGAGCGAACAGGTACTTGTTTTGATTATTATCAAATTATTAATTTGATGGTTTTATCTGTTGTGGGCGTGGCATTTATTTCTATAAACAGCATACGATGTTTAAAGCAAACGGGTACTTGTTTTGATTATTATCAAATTACTAATTTGATGGTTTTATCCGTTGTGGGCGTGGCATTTATTTCTATAAACAGCATACGATGTTTAGAGCGAACAGGTACTTGTTTTGATTATTATCAAATTATTAATTTGATGGTCTTATCCAGTGTCTGTATGTTTTTCACGTCTCTCCTCATTTGATGGTTGCAGATGTATTGAAGAACGCATATTTTGTACGCTTAAGTCTGGTGTATTTAAGTTAGTTCTTACAGGAACTTCTTGAAACTCTTCAGCCGCCCTTAAAGAGTGATTGTCAAGTCGTTTACGTATGAAACAGAGCAAGAGTAAACTAATCCAGGTAAATCGCGAGAGAAATTGTTTGTCTTCTTCTTCTTCTCTGGTTAATAGCTGGATTGGAAATCTTTCTGAAAAAATAAAATAAAAAAGAACAGGTTGTGTTAAAGTTCAAAGAAATAGGTTCTTCCAAAATGACCCAGATAAGCGTAAGTAGGACATATACGTAGTCAAATGCATGCATAGTTACACGTTCTGATAAACCTAAACTATTTTTTAACTAACTAAAAAAACATAATAATCCACTGCTCAAGAAACTAAATCTAAAACTAATATTTTTAATACCACAAAATGGTATTAGACAAAAAAAACAACACAAAAAGTTTTCAATGATAATTCTAAATCTACCAGCTTTTATGAACTGATTATATAGAGGGAAATACTTTTGTTTTTAAAACCACGTTCATCAGTATTATATTTTATTTTCAATTTTAAATCAGACATTTGATAAGAGATCGTAGCGGAAATTTGTACACAGTCTCTACTCCAGCTTTTCTTAATTGAAAGGAGGGGGACAATGAGACGTATACTGGAGCCAAATCTAAAATAACTTTAAACATTAGATTAATAAATGGCATTAGTTTTGAGGGGGCGACAAAATCTTAGAGGGATATCCCCCCACGCAAGCACCGGCTCTGTTTTTACTACTTAAAACGAATAATACTTGATTGTCACAATGGTGTTGAACAATTAAGTAAATGCAACAGGTTGTCACAATGGTGTTGAACAATTAAGTAAATGCAACAGGTTGTCACAATGGTGTTGAATAATCAAGTTAATGCAACAGGTTGTCACAATGGTGTTGAACAATTAAGTAAATGCAACAGTTTGTCACAATGGTGTTGAACAATCAAGTAAATACAACAGGTTGTCACAATGGTGCTGAACAATCAAATAAATGCAACAGGTTGTCACAATCCTGTTGAACAATTAAGTAAATACAACATAAAATTTATTAACAATATCAGACAATCCTGACCTTGGAAAGACATTCGACCACACATCATTTCTTTGTATCCTTGTCGAAGCGAAGGAGTCTTGAACGCATAGATGATAGGATTACAGGCAGAATTCATGTAACCGCACCAGTAGGCCTAAAAAATAGTAAAGTGTAAAACAAACATTCAACATTGTTCTCGTACCTATTGAAAAAAAAATAAAAAAACGATTAAAAAATATAGATGAAAGCAAGGAAAAAGAATCATTATGTCAACACAAATATAATGTCGTTAGAGCTGTGAAAGAAGAAACATATCTGGATTTGAGGGGGATACCGATGACTGATGGCGTTTTATTGTTAACTGTGAACATCGAATTCAAAACTGTAATAGCGACTTTTCTTGATTGTTATTCATATTGTGTAGCTTTTTGCTTAACTACAAACAAACAGTATTCCTGTAAATACATACAAAATATTTTATTGAAGTTCATTTCTTCCCTTTTAAAAGATAATCGGGAAAGGAACCACAGTTTGACAGATAGTCATTTGAAGATTTCCTGAGACATTTAAAGTACCTCTTATCTTTTTTATGTTTTTCTAACTTTTACTTTAGACGCATGTGCAGCGGTAAAGGGAGCTTGCTGGGGGCTGTAGATACCCAAAAATGTGGCTTAGCCTCCCCTGTAACCTCCACACCCAACGTAAAGTGTTTACTTTAAAGCTGGTTCACTTTCTCAATGGTGGAATCCCAGGATGTAGGGTACAGCCCCTGTTTAAGTAGACACAAAGTCTGTTGTCGTTAATGGTGTTTCAGCTTTTTTTTTTGTTGTTGTTTATTCAGTTATGCATTTACTTAATTGTACCTACATTTCATCTAGATTTCACCTTAACTGTCAATGATAATACAGCACAGTTCCTTGACCACGACTAAACAACTCACACAACACGAGTAATCAGATCGTGGCTCAAACATCCGAACACAGCTGTGAGTTGTTTCTTGAATGTTCACTGTTGATGCACACTGTAATACATATCTTCAATTCCCACAAGCACTTTATTGCACAAAAAGGTGCGGACTGTCCCTGTGGTAGAACTCTGGATTTCGGAGCTGGCGAGTTGGGTTCGACACAAGCACTTTATTGCACGAAAAGGTGCGGACTGTCCCTGTGGTAGAACTCTGGATTTCGGAGCTGGCGAATTGGGTTCGACACAAGCACTTTATTGCACAAAAAAGTGCGGACTGTCCATGGGGTAGAACTCTGGGTTCGATTCCTTGCGATACCATAGAATATTCCCCGCACTTTAAGCTCTGAGTAAGTTATAAAAGTAACAGTAAATCCCTTACTGTAGATGGTGGGTGGTAAGGTGACTGGCTGCCTTCCCTCTGGTCAGTAGTTCAAAATTAGGGGGACAACAACCTCAGTAGATGTGCCACAAATACAAAAATACACATACAAAACTTGTTGCACAAAAACAGTATTTGAAACGTATTTCCAGATCATATAAAATTCTTGGATATAATAAAGTATAATATGGATTCATATTACGATTAACTAGACAGTTATACGAGTTGACAAGAAAATACTAAGAATTATACTTACTATAGGATTGATCACTAGAGGAACTTTGCTTTTGTCTTGTATAAAAGCTACAGTTGTAGAGTAGAGAACATAGGGTGTCCAACAGATCAGAAAACAAGAGAGGACCAAAACGAGAGTCATTGATACCCGCTTCTGCTGAAATATTGTGTCCTCAACAGGAATGTTGGATGTTTCTCGCATTCTTTGTATGTGGCTGTGAATTTCTTTGAAAATCCAAAAATAGCAGAAGATCATTACTGCCAAAGGAATTACGTAATTAGAAAAAGTAATTAAAATGGAGTGTGAGCGATCCTTCCAACTTTTGGGAAGACCTGGGCCACATTGTGAAGAACCCTTTTTGTAGATGATTTTGTTCCATCCGAGTAGAGGAAAAGTGGCACACACAGCAGACCAACCCCACGTTACAACTATCATCAAGAGAATCCTTTGGTGTGTCATCACCTGGCTAAAAGGTCGAGTGATGGAAACATACTTATAGATGCTAATGTACATCAGAGTGTGGATGGAACAGATGAGAAGTAAAGCCATAGTGAACCCATTCAACTTACAGAAAAATTCACCCAATACCCAGTCTCCATGGATCATAGTCACTAAAGAGATGGGCATGTCAATAACTGCAGTTAGTAGATCAGCCACTGCCAAGTTCACCAGAAACATATTAGTTCTGGTTCGCATTTCTTTATGTCGTAATACAGTCACGATCACCATAAGATTTCCCATGACAGACAAAATAATGAAAACTACGAGTGCTAAAGACATTGGTACAACAACGGAGAGTCCATGATAATGATAAGTGTTTTCTAGTTGGCTTTTGGTTCCGTTGTATCTTTTCTCATCTTCAATCATGAACGCGACCGTCGTGGACATAATTCAGATTTCGTCCAATGATTCGTGGAAGAGTATTCACTTAGTCAAATAGAGAAGGATGAACTATTGAGCAATATTAGATGAATCAAAGCGTGTTAGTAAACGTCACTGTACGTAATCTGCTAGAATTCTTCACTGCAACCTGTAAAAAGTTGAAACAAACGAAAATAAGTATAACACATTGTTTATGTTTAATTAAGTGTTAACATGGACTAACATATGTTGCAAACCATTATTTACGAATAGACAAAGACAGATGCATAGAAAAGACAATGAACTACTGGATAAAATGTGTTAAAGTGGTGAAGTGATTTTTACGTACCCTGTAACCACTAATGAACAAAACAATAATCTCTTTAATAATATCACTTCTAAACTTAATTAGAAACGAATCTGATGGCTGTACAAATGGCTGGGTATGTTATATTAAAACCACTTTGGAGCCTCAATATGTCGTTACATTCTATGTCATCAAGTGCAGTCGTGCTATGTCTGACGACCTCAAAATGTCGTTACATTCTAAGTCATCAAGTGCAGTCGTGCTATGTCTGACGACCTCAAAATGTCGTTACATTCTATGTCATCAAGTGCAGTCGTGCTATGTCTGACAGCCTCAATATGTTGTTACATTCTAAGTCATCAAGTGCAGTCGTGCTATGTCTGACGACCTCAAAATGTCGTTACATTCTATGTCATCAAGTGCAGTCGTGCTATGTCTGACGACCTCAAAATGTCGTTACATTCTATGTCGTCAAGTGCAGTCTTGCTATGTCTGACGACCTCAACATGTCGTTACATTCTATGTCATCAAGTGTAGTCGCGCTATGTCTGACGACCTCAAAATGTCGTTACGTTCTATGTCATCAAGTGCAGTCGTGCTATGTCTGACAGCCTCAAAATGTCGTTACATTCTATGTCATCAAGTGCAGTCTTGCTATGTCTGACGACCTCAAAATGTCGTTACATTCTATGTCATCAAGTGTAGTCGCGCTATGTCTGACGACCTCAAAATGTCGTTACGTTCTATGTCGTCAAGTGCAGTCTTGCTATGTCTGACGACCTCAAAATGTCGTTACATTCTATGTCATCAAGTGTAGTCGCGCTATGTCTGACGATACACGAACTACGCTTCTAGACTGCCATTAATATGACTATTTATTTTGTACCTCTGTAATATCAGGCCGGATGTACTCAACCCAGAATGTTAATCCGAGAGTTCGTGTCCCTTTGACACACAAAAAAGAGCTCTACACTTTCTATAAAACAAAAGTAGCCCAAGAATGGGTGTTGGGTGCTGTTGACTAGCTTCCTTCCCTCTATTCTATCAGTTCAAAATTAGAGACAGCTATGATGATGTTGGCCCTCTGTTTAGGCTTGCACAAAAATCCTACAAAATCACCTACAATATATAATCGTAGCACATTATACCATAGTGTAGTGGCCCGGCATGGCCAGGTGGTTAGGGAGCTCGACTCGCAATCTGCGGGTCGCGGGTTCGAATCCCCGTCCCACCAAACATGCTCGCCCTTTCAGCCGTGGGGGGCGTTATAATGTGACGGTCAATCCCACTATTCGTTGGTAAAACAGTAGCCCAAGAGTTGGCGGTGGGTGGTGATAACTAGCTGCCTTCCCTCTAGTCTTATACTGCTAAATTAGGGACGGATAGCGCAGATAGCCCTCGTGTAGCTTTGCGCGAAATTAAAAACAAACAAACAAACAATCATTTGTTCCTAATCAGAATTATAAAAACACTAACGGTTTTTCAAGTATCGCCAAACTGAATGCCATGTCTTATATGTAGAACGTCATAATAATGTTTAACTATAGGATTATTTCAAACACACCCGTTGACAATAAACACACTATATATTAGTTTGTATTTCTTCTGTAACTAACCACGCAAGACCTATGAGCATACTGATTCTATTATAAATATTTGGGTAAATCATTCTAGAACCCCTCTTGATGTGCAGCCTATTGGTAGACTGTCTGATCTGGTTACCCAGGTGCTCAGGTTTGTGTGTCTCAGCGTGCAACCTATTGGAAGACTGTCTGATCTGGTTACCCTGATGCTCAGGTTTGTGTGTCTCAGCGTGCAACCTATTGGAAGACTGTCTGATCTGGTTACCCTGGTGATCAGGTTGATGTGACTTGGAATGTACGCATACCTACACAAAAACTACCTGTCGTTCCTAATTTTGAACAAATAGACTAAAGCTGGTATTCATAAAATGTAGGTCGCGACTCCCCTGTTATCGAGAAGGGATTGAAAAGATGCAACGAATCTTCGACGCTTTTTGGTGGTGGACTAAAATATTCAAAGTAAGTTGGTGTTTCATCTTCCCAGGCTGTGCTACAAGGAAAACATCTCCAGTTCTATTAATGTTACAGATTATCGCGCAAAGCTACGTAAGGGATATCTGAGCATAGCCATTCCTAATTTTGAACTGATAAAATAGAAGAAAGACAATTAATCAACAACACCCACCGCCAATTTTTGAACTACTCTTATATGACCGAATAGTGAGATTTTACGGCTTTAAAATCCAATTGGCGTACGCGACCTCGCGCTTAAAAAGCTAGCACAGCAAGCAAAAGTACTTTTCCTCAACTAATGATGGGTAATATTCTGTGTAAAAAAATATAGTTTAAGATAAATAAATTATTCTTGTTGCTCAGAAATTTAGAAACTGTAAAAGACAAGTTTATGCGAACAATCCACGTGGTCATCTTTTGTTGTTTTGTTTTTTTGTAGTCAAACTTCAGTGTTCAAAGAAACACAATTCCCCTTGCTCATCCGTTCAGCCAGGAGTGTGTTATAATGTTACGATCAATCCAACTATTCTTTGGTAAAAAAAAAGTAGCCTAAGAGTTGGCGGTGGATGGTGTTGACCAGCTGTCTTCCTCTGGTCTTTTCACTGCTAAATTAGGGATGGCTAGCGCAGATAGCCCTCGTGTAGCTTTGCGCGAAATTTTAAATAAACTAAATTGTTTGCGACAGAAACATCAGAAACAGAATGCTTGATTTTTTTGTAAGAATTCCGGTTGTCAGTTCTGGTTAAATAAGGTTGAATCGTTTATGTGAAAACGATGATCGAAACAAACCAAAAACGTTTTTGTTCTTCATCAGCTCCATTTAATTACACACGTTTGTATTTTACTACAAGTGTATCATCATCTATTAATATGTCGAACTTCCGTTTCCGTCACTCATCAAGCGCAATATCCGCTCCTACAATGTTTGACGAACGCATCCTGTACTATATGGAAACCGGTTTAGTCTTTCGAACAAGTCGCTGACGTCACAGCCAATTATTGAGTGGACGCAGTGTACACATTTTGACAGTTTGATGCCCTAAAGATCCGTTATCTTGGCTTATGTATCTCATCTGTCATCTTTAACACCAAGCTTATCTAGTATCATCCTGATGTATACGTTTTATACACACACGCAGAAACAAAGCCATATGGGCGGCTGTTTGTGTTAGCAATAACTAATCATGGTATTCATAACTCATTAAAAGAAAAATTTAGAAGTGAACCTTTTTCTAAACAAAAAGGTTTTTCTGGGAAGTACTGCACGGGAAAAGTGTTCGAAATGTGCGGATTTAAACTGTAATGTTTTTATATATTAAAAGTGGTACTCTTTATTTAAAATTCCATTTTTCAGTACTATATCTAGAAATTACATCAATAAAGTTATAATCAAACCCTCACGTACAGTCCTAGTGAAAGACGTGTTCTTGTTGTGAGGAGAGTAATTTTATTTAAAATTGTGTTCTATTATAAAGAAATGGTTGTTGCACATACCATAGTTATTTTTCTAATTGTCTGAATCTTGAATACCTAAAGTGTGAACATTTTTATAGATTATTTGTTTGTAGTGCCATTCAATAGATGGCGCTATTATTTCGGTTACACACATTTATACATACATACACATATATATATATCCATTATAGTAAGATAGTATCATAACATAAACGACATATAAGCATTTTCCTCTCTCTTTCTATATAACACACACACACACATATAAATAATAAATATGCAATTACAACATGATAACTTAACATGATCTTGTGTAAACGGGCGAAAGTTGTCAGCAACCACAAACAATGAAGTGAAATTATTAGCGGGCCTGGTTCAGGTACTTGAACCCATAATGTCCTAAGCCTAACGAAATATTTGCCACTTGTGGGAAATAATATAAGCAAATACAGAATAAAATACTCAACTAAAATTAAACCTAAATAATTCAGAATGCCGAAAGCAGCGAAATAATGTACGAAACATAAAATAAATAATTAATATTTAGACATATTTACATTTCTCACAATTTTTTTAAATTAAGTAACTGGTCTGTTCGAGACTAAATTATTTTGACGCTATACCTATTTTAACTTGGTAAGTATAACTTTATCCAGTTAAAACTTTCCACTTCAATTGTTACGTGTTCCGTTACTAAATTTTCTATATATTCTTGATTGTGTGTTGAATTTCGTACAAAGCGACTCGAGAGTTGTCAACGCTAGCCGTCGCTAGTTTTAAAGGTTATAAGAGAAGGCAGCTAGTCAACACCGCCAACTCTTGGGCTACTCTTTACCAATAAAGAGTGAGACTGATCATCATATTATAAGCCACCGTGACCGAGTTTATTCGACGGAGGGATTCGAACCCGCGACCCACTGCTTGCGGGTCAAGTAACCAAACCACCTATAGATTTATATCAGATATTGAAAGAGTTATATACCAATCAATTATGGATAAGATCAAAGAGCATCAGTTTACGTTCTGGCTTCTTTGTCGTCCAATAAGCATGTGAATACAAAGTGTTCATTTCCTTACGATACAATAGCTCATCCCCCAAAGTAGACGAGTATTCTAATTCAACGAGAAACAATACGATGTGCACGCAGCGAAACAAGTTACCATTTCAAAATGGTATATGTAAGGGGGGGGGGTTGACATAAACCTGTGGGAAGGAAGCCCACTGTTCGGCAGTTGATCAGGGTTGCGTGGTGGCTGCCCCGG